ACAGTGCTCAAGTTGTTTTTCAAAGTTCTTTAAATGCTAGCGATAGCTTTACAGTCAAATCGGCTCAAGCTTAGGGACTGACCATTAGATTTTTGGGGGGGGGGGGGGGGGGGGGGGGGGGGTTGGGCAAGAACCAAAAAAAATTTCAAGCACAGCTTTAAAGAGTTAAAAAAAAAATTGTGCATAAGAAAAGTGCCAGAAAAAATTCAAAATTATGTCCAAAAAAATTCCTGCACCGGCATGAGGTGTAAAAAAAAAATTCCTGCACAAAATAAATTGCCCAACCCCCCCCCCCTTAAAAGTCTAATGGTCCATCCCTTACCCACTAGGTTCCATTAATGGTTCTCCAGTATTGAAATTTATTATCCTTTCTGAGAATACGAAGACTCCTAAAATTCCTTAAATTCTTAACCAATTCTAAGCTCACATTCTGATTGGATTATTTTATATAAGGAACACCATAACCGAATCAGAATTTGAGTTTTGAATCTGTTATTTTGAATCAAGAGTCTTCAGAAAGAATAATTACAGGGAGGGGAGGGGGGAGGTAAACTTGAGGCATTTTGACTGTAAGACTTGGGGGGGTACAATAATCAGAACATTGCTTACCAAAACATTCCTCATTAGATTGTCTTGTTGGATAAACCAACATGGCTGCTATTTCATTGTTATTTATATATCAAGGGGTTTCGTGGTTGTATCCCAAGAATTGAATGAAACAAGAATATACTACTGATAATGAATTTGGGCTGGAGGGATATCCCACAAGGCGCTTTTTATTTATTCTTAGTAATTTCCATCAGCGGTTGGGGGGTGGTTTGCCTTGTCTCTACCTTGATTCGAGGGTTTCATCTTCGAGTTCTCGGGTTTTTTGGCTCCTTCAGGATACCATGGAATATCCCACAAGGCACTTTCCTCCAGGGGCTGGGGGTTGTTTGTCTTGTCTCTGCCTTGATTTGAGGTTTTTTCCCCGGGTTCTCAGGTTTTTGGCTCCAGGATACCATGGAATATCCCATGAGGCACTTTGCAGTAATTTTCTTCAGGGGGGGGGGGGGATAGTTTTCGAGCTGTAAAAACTGATCCATATTCCCTCAAAATGAGTTAAAGACATAACCAAAAACGCCATGATATTGGCAAATGCCTGTTAAGAAAAAATGCGGAAAAGGTCTGATAAAAAAGGCTAGGTGGGCTCCCTGTGGTCAACTCAGCGGAATACCTTCAAAGTCATGCGTTCTCCGAGCTTCAAAATGGCGGGTAAAATGATTTCCACGTGAAATACTTTGTTTATCTAGTGATTTTTAAGGTTTTATTTGCCTTGATTGATCCCGATGGCTCCAGTAGTGGCATCCAAAACTCCACCTTTAAGTCCTCGTAGTCCACCAAGGAAGAAAGCGAAATTTTCTCTTCGTTTGAAGGGAAAAAAGACGAAAAATGAAGAAGATGATTCAGAAGTGAAAGCCAGCAACGTGTATTCAATATTCATCTCGCCATCGCAAAAAGACGAGAATTACGATGAGAATAATTTATATAAAGAACCAGAGATCCCTGCTCTTCCTCATGCAGGGTTGTTGAACCAAGGGAATACTTGCTATGCTAATGCAGTTCTTCAGGTACTTCGATATTGTCCTGGTTTTGAGCAACTTGTTGGGCATCTTGCAAGCAAGGTAAGCTTTACCTCACACATACCATAAATAAATAACGGTCGGGGCCCCGGTTGTATGGAGCCTGGATAGCGCTATCGGACGGATAAATCTTATCCAGTGGATAAGTTTAATGGATAACAGCATCGACTTATCCAATGTAAAATAAAGTTAAGTACCTATATTTAACGTCGGTAGTTCCTTCAGTTGAAATTCAACTGCTATCAATGGAAGCCGACGGTGCGCACTTTACCCCCTCTCTCCATCAGTACTCTGTTTTAAGGGGGAGGGGGGGGGGAACTCGTTCGAATTATCAAACCACCCCTGGCGACGAGCTGTCAGAATACACAAGAGTTGGGCTCCAGCAGCCTTTACTATACTTTCTTTACATACAGTAGTTACATATATACTTTATTCTATTTTCATTCATACATCATATACATCTTTAATACTTATTGAGATCCAATTTCCATATACCCCATACCCGATGAATACAATTAAAATCAGAAATACATAACGGCCTGTGGAGTGGGAGGGCACTGTAGGACAATATAAAGGTATATACATCGCAATGTGCTGATATCAAGGCTGTCATTCTAAAGATTTTGGATCACATCTCCCGTCCTCCTGGTTAGTGCCCCAAATCTTTCAGAATAGTATTGTCATTGAACAATCTTTGGACCTATGGTGTCGTCATGACCGTTTTGTATCCATTTTTCAGAATTGAATAATTTGGGGGCTGGCAGCCCTGTAATATGACTGTGGTTAATTGGAATTGGAATTGATCTGTACTGTTTTAGGAGAAGGATGTTATGAATGATGAACAAGGCACCACTAAAAAAAAAGATGAAACAGAGGAACTTATCAGTCAGTTAGAAGAGGTATGATGTTATGCATGATTTTCATACATTGAACTATACATTTTTCTGTCATTTCCCTATTCATCCATCCATCCATCCATC